GTAAATACCCAGTAGTGCAATTGCTGGATCGTATGGTAGCTCTATTTTCAACTGTTTGAGGAACCTCCATACTGTTTTCCAGAGCGGTTGCACCAACTTGCATTCCCACCAACACCGTAGGAGGGTTCCCCTTAAGGAGAGAAACTCTTAAGCAGGCTCCATGCCTAGTTTGGAGCCCAGTGTGGGGCTCGATTTCACAACCCTGAGATCTTGACCTGAGCTGAGATAGGAGTCGGAGGCTTAACTGCCTGAGCCACCCAGGTGCCCAAACATGCTTGTTTTAAATTGTATTTTGTTGATTTGCAAGATTGAACATATTTCATGTTTTTTGGTCATTTATATGTGTTTTTAAAGTAGTTTCCTGATGGGGTTTTTGTTTATCTGCAACAGTACTTTATGCAAGTTTATTTATTGACTTGTTGATTCTTTCATTTAACAAATACTTGTCTTCTGTATGCCAGTTAGTCTTTTTTTTTTAGAGGCTGAGGGGCAGTAGTGAACAAATTAGTTTCTGCTCCCAAAGCTCAGAGTGCCCTGGAGCAGGCACACATGAGGCAAGGAGCCACCCGGATGGAGGCAGACATGGTATGGTGGAGATCAGCAGGAAGGACCTGTGTCATAAAAAGGACCTTTTGTTAGGGTGGGGGCTGGTGGTGTCAACATTTTTCTCTAATTTTCTAAATTATTTTTTCTGAAATAATTTCTTCTATCTGAGCTGTGATTTGAAGGCTGTTTACTTGTCTAATATATTTGAATAGTTTTCCCAGTTTCTTTTTAGTGGGGGGCTTGTTGTGGTCTTATTCTTTAGTTTAAAAATGTTTGTGTTTTCAAGTCCAGGATGATGAGATAAAGAATTACTGGGGACTGGGGTGAGTAGTCAGGAAAGCTTTTTTTGGGGAGATGACATGTAAGGTGACATTTGAAGGATGAGATGGAGCCAGCTCGGCAATCAGCTAGGGGAAGAATGTTCCAGAAGAGGTACAGCTAACTCAAAGGCCTCAGGCAGGGAAGGGCGGGGGGGTTCTACCAAGCGACTGAAAGCTCGTGAGAGCAGAGAGGGATTTCTTTGAGACGACGTTGGAGAAGTTAAACGGAAGCTGGTTCCACAAACCATCTTATGGAGTCTGGAATTTTTCTGCTATATAGGGAAGCCATGGAAGATTTTAAGCTTGCTTTCCTTTTTTGTTATAGTTAATTTTTATTTTTAGCCAGGTAACTTGTGTTTGAAACTGTAAAAATGGTACAAAAATAGACTTTTTGAAGAATCACACGCATTTGCCCCACTCAGAGATAGTGAAACTCAAACTATTTTGGGAATATTTCTAAGTACTATGAGTATGCAGCTATTCTTCATCAATTTCAGTCTCTATCTGTTGATTTCCTGGTGCGATAGCCGATTGTGCATTCATCGTCTCTTGTCTGAGAACCTGGGGTCAGGTATGCTCTGGAATTCAGGAATTTTTGCATTTAGAAAGATAAAATGGTGCATATATGTCATTTATTTTGTGGTACCCCTGGTGTAGTTTTGAGCAAAACTCTCATTTTAGGCATGACGTTAAGTGTATTGGGCCCTTGTGTGTCTGAAAATATCTTTATTCCACCCCCTGCATGTCTGGCTGTGTATTAAATTTTGGGTTGAAAATAATTTCCTCTTAGAATTTTGAAAGAATTGTTCCACAGTTTTTTGGCATGCAGTGTTGCCATGGACTCATATTTCAGTCTGATTCCTGCTCTTTCGTGTGCTACCCATTGATTGTCTCTGGAATTATTCAGGAACTTTTTCCTTCTGAGGTTGCATGAAACCTCCTCATGGTGTGGGTCTTACGCATTCATTCTGCTGTATGTCAGATGCACAGAGACTCCTTTTGGTTTGGTGGCATTTTTGTGTATCATTTCTCTTTTTTATTTTTAATTAGTGAGTTTTAATTGCATTTATTGGTAATGGGGGCTGAATGTTTTTTCCTTTGTAAAAAATTTTTTTAGGGTTGAATATTTCTAAAGCTTATCAGACATGTCATTTGGTATCATCTCTTTAATAATTTTATCTCCTGTATTTTCTTACTTCTTTGGGATGTCTATTGACATGTTGGGTATTACACTGAGCCTGTGTTTTTTAATCTCTATTTTCCTTGTTTCTGAGTTACTTTTTACTTGTTTTGTCCCTTTCATGTTGGAAGCTTTCACCATCACATATCTTGCAAATCCTTGACTGTCTTTTTAAGTATGATATATTAAAAAGAACCAGTCTTCACTGAAAGCATTTGATGGGGGGCTAGCCCTTTTATTTCAGGACTCCCCAAATTGCAACATGTAGAGCTGTTACCACCTCCTTTTCTACTCACACCTTATAGTTTTCCTTGCCTGGGAATTTTTAATTACCTGGCTGCATTTTGGGAGCTGGGCTGGGGAGGCAAGTTGATGATATCATAGTGTTAAGATATAAAATTATAAAATATAAAAATTTTACTAGAAATTATAAATAAGATTCCTGTTTTCAGCTTCTGCCTACTCTTACCTCTCTGCTCTGCTTGGTGTCCCAGAACCGAGGTAGTTGAGGGAGGAAGTAGGTAGAAGGTATAGCTACACGGCTATGCAGAATTAGGGAGCAGGCTAGGGGCTGGGAGGTAGCTGCTCCCCTGCTCTCCACTCAGATTCCTAACCAGCCACGTTTGAGCACTTTGCCTGACCCTCTACAGCCCCAGTGGAGTCTGTCATTGGCTCCGTGGGAAACATTTGCTCGGCTCTTAGGTGTTTTCCTCTATAGGCACACGGGTCTCAGCTTCTCTGCTTTCTTGAGTTGGTTGCTCCTCTCTTTTTCTGTCTTGCAAATGCCTGTTGAAATACTTTGTTGCCTTTCTTATTCTCATTGTTTTGTGGATAGATGCTACCTTTTATTTATTTATTTTTAATAAGTAACTTTTTAAAAGATTTTATTTATATATTTGACAGAGAGACAACAAGAGAGGGGACACAAGCAAGGGGAGTGGGAGAGGGAGAAGCAGGCTTCCCGAGGAGCAGGGAGCCCAATGCAGGGCTCGATCCCAGGACCCTGGGATCATGACCTGAGCCGAAGGTAGATGCTTAACCAACTGAGCCACCCACGTGCCCCTAGATACTACCTTTTAAATTCTTTGCTATTACTTTAATAGAGTTAGCAAGAGAAAGGAGATAAACATGCATGATTAATCCATGTTTAACTTACAGTGTGATTTACTTTATAGAAAGAGATTTCAGATTCCTGTCTTGAGAAGGGAATTAGAATGATGGGACAGAGCAGGTGCATAGAACCATTTACTACAAGAGTCCAAGAATGTGTCTTGGAGAGGGTCATAGCAGTGGAATGGAAGAAGGGAAGGCAGTGCGATATGTCATATGGAAGAAAAACTGACAGGACTTGGTGGACCGTGTGCACATGCGCGTGTGTGTGCGTGCGCACACACACACACACGCTTGGAAACGGAGACTGTGAGGAAACCAGATAGCTGGCTTTAGTTCTGGGCACATGGTGTTGCCATGTTGCCATGAGGGAAGATTGGAGGAGAATCCGGGTCTTTTGGGGGAGGGGCTGTTGGGAATCATGACTTGTGTTTTCTACACGTGAACTCTGAGATGCGGGTGACATCCAGGTGAAGTTGTTAAGCAGGCATTTGCATAAGCAGAGTCAGAACTCCGAGACACTTGAACTGGAGACGAGTTTGGCCATTGTCGCTAGCAGACGAGAAGACCAGAGTAGAAGATGTAGCTAGAGAAAAGAAAAGGGGCCTAGGACTGGACCCTGCTGAACGCCTGTCATGCCTCCGAGGAGAGGTCAGAGAGGCGGGGAAATCGAGGATGGGGTCACTGTCACGGGGGTGATGTGTGTTTTGGGGTGAGACTGTTGCCTGCACATGTGAGCTGTGTGCCTGTGGATAAGAAGGTAAAGGGGAACGCAGTACCTGACAGGCTTTTCTTCTTTCAGCGTGGCAGGCTCTTCCCTTCTTCGGAATATTTGTTTTCACTGTTGTTCTGTTACCTGTTCAACTTCACTGCATACATACCCTTTGCATGTAGAGAAGTGATGCCAAGCACATAGCAGGCACTTGATAAATACTTGTTGAATGAATGGGTTTCTTAATAATTCCTCCAGCCATACAAACAGTAGTGGATGGCCACCTTTAGGTTTTGTTTGTACAACTAGTAATACGCTTCGGGGGATATGAGTTTATGTTGGTTTCCCCGGTCTCTTCCAAAATCACCTCTGATCACCATCAAAATATTCCTATATTAATTATATGAGAATTGATCACAATTTTAATTAGTTTTTTTATACTTGGCTTCGGAGGTCTGTGTTGGTACAGAAATCTGGTCTGGAACAAATAGCATTTCCCCAGGTACTCTCTGTCTCTGTGAGACTCTGTGCTAGGCACTAGGACACATTTGTGAAAACATGGGTCATGGTCTGTGTTCTCATGGAACTTCAGACAATAAACTTGATTTTGCTTTTGGAATTCTGTGGCATCCTTGTTTGCATGTATTGACTTTATTTTTTACCTTCCTTGGAGCATTTGATTTCTGTTGCTTTCCAGATGTACTTTACTGTTCATTTATGTGTTTGATGTTTAAGGGACAAACTTTGGAGTCCAAACAGGATGCTTTCCAGGGCCAAGAAGCGGCAGTAATGATGGATCAGAAAGCAGCATTATATGGGCAGACGTACCCGGCACAGGGGCCTCCAGTGCAGGGAGGCTTTAATCTTCAGGGACAATCACCATCTTTTAACTCAATGATGAATCAGATGAACCAGCAAGGCAATTTTCCTCTCCAAGGAATGCACCCAAGGGCCAACATCATGAGACCCCGGACAAACACCCCCAAGCAGCTCCGGATGCAGCTTCAGCAGAGGCTGCAGGGCCAGCAGGTAAGCAGCCTCGAGCTCGCCTCAGCCAGACGTGCCTTCTCTCTGGCTGCCTCCTTTTTGGTTGGTTGTCAGGCTTTGTTCCTCAGGGCTTTTGCCACTGCCTCTCTCTCTCTTGTCATCTCATACTCCTTTGTTTTGACTTTTGTGTAACGTTTGTATAGGTGGTTCCTTGTTAGGGAGTGGTCCTGCTGGAATTGGTCAGGTCCTCCTTACCTTTTGATAAGATTATTCTGTTGTACAGGTTAAAAGGTGAAAAATGTCCGAGGGGATGGCACTTGGGGGAGAAGAGTATTTCTTGATGGCTTAGAGGTAGATGATTTCTATTTTTAAAAAAGTCCTTAATATTCATACTAGATACTTAAAACTTATTGATTTGAACATTCTTTTTATGGAACCTCTGCTTTCTAGATGTTTTATAAAACTTGAGCTCTCTCTTTTTTTTTTTTTAAAGATTTTATTTATTCATTTGAGACACAGAGATAGAGCGCATGAGCAGGGAGAGAGGCAGAGGGAGAAGCAGGCTCCCCGCTGAGCCAGGAGCCCAATGTGGGGCTCGATCCCAGGACCCTGGGATCATGACCTGAGCCGAAGGCAGACACTTAACCATCTGAGCCACCCAGACGCCCCAAACTTGAGCTCTCTTAATATTCTAAACTAAGAGTTTGCTTTTTTACTGTTTCCTTAATCTCCAACACATCTTTAAAATTTAATTATTTATATTGTTTATGTCTTGGGTATGCTGAGTTATTAAATGTGGCAGAACTGAACCATATAAGCTGATGAGTGAGTGTCAGGTCCAGTGAGCCAGAGACTCTTCTAGGGTATTAATACTACTAAAAGTCAATGTAGGTACTCTGCAAAACTGTGTTAGTACAATCATGGTATCATTTTACTTTTTACCACTTCTTTCCACTAAAAGTTACTTAGGAAAAGCTAACAGAAGAGCTAGTTTATTTAGTGTTGGTCTGAGCAAATTAAAGCTATTTCCCTAATGGCCTAAATAATCCCACAGAAAATCTGACTTAATGAATCTGAGTTTCTGTTGAAGATACTCTTTAAGCTGCAGATTTGTATTTTTACTTTTCCTCCTGATGCCAAACAGTAAAGCTTCATATGCTTGCCAAGGACTTTTCAGCCTGAATTTTTTGAAGTGTGGAAGTGTACTGGTTCAGTGTAGATTTGACTTAACCAGGTTAATGTGTTGGAAGTAGCATCATGATCTTACCGGGTGGTGCTGAGGATTTAGAAAGCTGTTTGGGGCTCAGTGACACGCTCCACTTGCATCCTAACCAACCTGTTTCTCCCCAGTTTTTGAATCAGAGCCGTCAGGCACTGGAGATGAAAATGGACAGCCCCACTGCTGGGAGTGCTGCCGTGGTGAGGCCCATGATGCAGCCCCAGGTCACCTCCCAGGTGAGGAAAGTGAGTCTGTCCACAGTCACTGCCGTGGGCCCTGCACAGGGCCTGCTCCGTACTTGGCCCTCAGTAAACGTATGTTAAAACACAGCAGTTCCCACTTTCTTGTGTAAGAAACCATTCCTTGCTCTCATCACACTTCCTCTTCGTTCTTCTCTCTTGCTGGTGATGAGGAAGAATCAGGAGGGGAGGCTTTTATTAAAACCATGGATTCGTGTTTTCTTTAATTCCCTTTGTGATTTGCTGTGTTGTGAAAACAGCTGTTACTTTTTCGGGATTTAAAATAATAAATCTATAAACTTTTCTTTGTTTCTGGGTTATGAAACTATATGCTCATTGGTAAAATATGAGATTATAAGAAGAAAAAAGTAAATAATACATAATCCGACTCTCAAGGACCATCTCTGAGATGACTTGTTTCCCATAGTGGGAAGGATGATCAAGTTCTCTGTACCTCCAGCTCAAGGTGGAGACTGTACTCTAAGGTATTTTCTTAATGTGCACGAGGCAGATGACCACACAAAAGTCTTTTACTGTGGTTGGAAAGACTGTTCATAATGATTGTAAAAACAAACAAAACATCCCACTGTGAAGCGCCCAGTATTTGCTGTCTTAGGCTGCTTGGAAGTACTTTGATAATCTGACATCTTGACTAAGCTGAGCTAGGATGCCCTCCAGAAAGATAAAAGTTTGCTTTTTGCAGTTGCTTTCTCCCAGCTGATAGGGCCCGAGTCAGCTTTTTGGTTCTGTGTTTTGACCATGTTACCTCCTGAACTTCCAGACAGCTGCTCCTAATCCTCCATCTCTTGTTTCAAAAGCTTTCAGAGACAATACAGGCCCTTCTGGGGTAGACTCCTGTTTATTGAGTATAACCCCGTTCTTTTGGCGAGTGCTCCCTTGTGCCTCCCCTCCTCCCACACTCTTATTGCTGTCCTTTTCCATCTTGTAGTTTTATTTCATAGTTTCTGAAAAATTTGTCCTCAAATTCTACCCTTAAATGTTCTCTCAATTTGAGGAATGTTTTCAGTGTGAAAGTTTCCAGGGCTCTGTTCTGCACCCCGTCTGCCCCACCTAGCCATGATGCCTCTACCATAAGGAGAATTGTGCATTTTTCCTTTTGTATGAAGAAAGGCATTGGGTGTTTTTCTCTCCCGCCTAACGTATGGTGGTCCTGTGTGTATGAATTGGCTGGTTCCTGCTACGTGTGTGTAACTGCATTCTTCCTTGGATATTAGCAGGGTTTTCTGAACGCCCAGATGGTGGCTCAGCGCAGCAGGGAGCTGCTGAGTCATCACTTCCGACAGCAGCGGGTGGCCGTGATGCAGCCGCAGCCGCCGCAGCCGCCCGCGTTCAGCCCGCCCCCGAACGTGACCGCCTCCCCCAGCATGGATGGGGTTCTGGCAGGGCCCGTGATGCCGCAGGCTTCTCCCCAGCAGTTTCCATATCCACCAAATTATGGTAAATTTGATGGTGAAAATGGCTTCCCCAGAGTAACATAGATCTGTTGCATGTTAAACGCCAAATAGTACTTACTCCCTTTTTGTCGTTAACTAGAAAGATGGAATTAATTAAAAATAACAGAACAAGGGATGGTGACCAGTGAGACCGACAAGGCACAAGTAGAGCCAGATCAGACGAACCCTAGAGTCTTGAAGAGTTTCGGTGTTATTTTGAAGGCGGTAGTAAGTCACTGAATGTTCATAGATGCGTTTAGATTTGTACTGGGGCAAGGCCACCTGAGGCCTGTGAGGCACCTGCATCAGAAGGACAGCAAGAAGAGCGGAAGAAGGGAGGACAGAGCGCCCCAAACAAGAGACGATGCTCTTGTAGTCAGAACGGAGAAAAACTGGTTGGTCTAAAAAAACAAAAACAGAAACAAAACCCAGAAATGTTTATTGTAGTGCACAGGTAATTGTAATCCTGGTAGATGTTCTGTCAGAGTGGAGCATTTCCCCCCAACAAGTCTTGCTTTTGCAGCTCCCCACATTCTTAATTTGGAAGAAAGACCACCAGGTTCTACCCCTGCCCCCCGCCCCAGTATGTCCCAGTATATCCCAGTCTAGTTGAACTCTACAGGCTCCGAATGCTTGGTCATGTGAGTGAGAGGAATGCCATGTGGGCTTTGGGGTCCTTTCCTTGGTGACTTGGGTATATTCATTACAGTAGTGCAGATTACATCTTCAGGCCAGTCTTGGAGAGATTCCAGGAACATGGTGGGAGTGGGGATAGAGGTATCTTTTGGGGAGATTACATTTTAGGTGCACTTCTGCCAGCTGGGGACAGAGGGACAGAGTGATGTGAGTAGCATGAGGTGGAATCCCTTTTATACAGAGATCTCCGTGAAGTAACAGCTCTTCAGGTGGTCTAGACGGTCTGCTCTGTGCGGTAAGCCCATTCCTTCAATTGTCTTCTCAGTGAGAAGCAAGAGGAACTGGCAGGCAGCATCTTGTGGCACTTTCTGTCTTCACCTGCCTTTAGAAGAGAACATAAAGTTTCTATAGAAAACAGATACTCTAAGGAAGGCCCCCCTTGAGCGTTGTTTTTCTTCCTTCTTTTTTAAAGGAATGGGACAGCAACCAGATCCGGCCTTTGGTCGCGTGTCTAGTCCTCCCAATGCAATGATACCCTCAAGAATGGGTCCCTCCCAGAATCCCATGATGCAGCACCCTCAGACCACACCCATGTATCAGTCCTCGGAAATAAAGGGCTGGCCGTCAGGAAACCTGGCCAGGAACAGGTGAGGAACAGGGACTAGAAAAGTCATGCATGTTCTAGGGCCCAAAAGTACAGGAAAGTATCCTCTGCATTTTTCAGTCAAGCCTGAGTGGATGGAGAGATCAAAAGGCCTGGGTTTGCATTAGAAAGTGTGTTATTTGGCTCCTCCATTTTGAGACTCCTTCCTGTCCTCCACATGTCCACGTTCCAGCTGTGGAAACACAGAAGGCAGGCAGTCTTCTGTGGGGTTCAGAAGACTGCCTCAGAAGACTGAGGGGGCAGTCTTCTCCCTCAGGTTCTCTGCTGAAGCACAGCGACATTTGACAGAATCGTGGTGCTCTCTGTGTGCATGTCCGTTGTGACTAGAGTGACCCGGGTGGTAATCTCACACTTTGTTTACAGCTCCTTTCCCCAGCAGCAGTTCGCCCACCAGGGGAGCCCTGCAGCATACAGTATGGTGCACATGAATGGCAGCAGTGGTCCCATGGGACAGATGAACATGAACTCCATGCCCATGGCTGGCATGCCTATGGGTCCTGATCAGGTATGGGGGGGTCTATCCCTTCCTGTTCTCTTGAGAGAGGCAAAGCTTCATCTGTAATCTAAAGGTCCTCAGCACGTTTTTAACTTGGGTGTATAACTCAAAACTGGAGTCATTGAAATACTTGTGGTTTGAAGGCACTGGGCCATTCAGTACCTTTGGTAATGTGGCATCTAAGGGATCTGAATCTGTCAGCCACAGTCCTGTTGCAGGCGCTGTGGATTCTTCTGTGTTGTACAGAGCGTGTGTTTTACTCACGTTTCTTCTGGTTAACAGAAATACTGCTGACACCTCTACATCAGGACCTCCAAGGAAATCACTGTACAAATGACCCTGCACTGGGATTATCGGGAGTAAAGAATCATCGTCCTGCACACCCAGCTCTGACGAAAGAACCAGCTTTGATCTCCGGGAAGGGTATTCCGAGTGATGTCATTTGAGCAGGACTGGGTTTGAAGTGGACATGCGATGTCTACCTGTATTATTCCTCCTCCTGTGTATCATGGAGTTCAAAACATATTTTTGGCATTCTGCCTCTTAGGGATGGGATTCTGGAGGTACGGAGTGTTACTGATCCCTTCTTTCTGCCTGGCTGTCAAGAGTGTTTCAGATAAATGTGGGCGGGCTAGAGAACCTCAGAGAAGCCCAGAGAGGCGAGGAGGTCTGGTTTCTCTAGTGGCAGTACTGGGTGGAGAGCACAGTCGCGGCCTTCACGTGTCCTTGTCACGACCAGATAGTTCTGTGTTCTCACCCGACTCTGTCCCGAGAAGTTGGCCTTTCTGAATTCTTCTAATGATTGTGTTGAGCTGCTCCAGCCCTGTTCTTGACTGTCCTGGACTTTTTGCTGAGTAGGAACTTCCTCTGTCCCTAACTGTCATGTAATACTTCACCTCCAGGAGCTGTCCTTGATGTCACATGGCTCTGCGGAAGGGACAGTGAGATGACAGTATTTAGTTGCAGCAGTAGCAATTTTTCACATGCTAACGTGCAGCCGAGTGCACTTTATTTAAAAAGTAATGGATAAATGCAATATTCTTGAGGTCTTGAGGAATGGTGAACCACATTCCCGGTTTTTGTCTGAACTAATCCGTTGGACAAGAGCGATGGTTTTTGTTGTTGTTGAAAGTACTGGTGTCACCCTTTGCCTATATGGTAGAGCAATAATGCTTTTTGAAAATAAACTGCAGAAAACCCAAGGCCAGGTACTGCATTCTGAATCAGAATTTCGCAGTGTTTCTGTGAATAGATTTTCTTTTGTAAATACGACCTTTAAGATATTGTATTATGTAAAATAATGTATATACCTTTTTTGCAGGTCACAACAACTCATTTTTACAGAGTTTGTGAAGCTAAATATTTAACATTGTTGACTTCAGTAAGCTCAGTGTGGTGAGGCTACACACAGACATCCCCTGAATTTTGTGGCCTGGGAGAGGGGATGGTGGTCTGAACCCCCCTCCCCCATGCTCCAGTGTTAGATGCCTCCCTCTTTTCAATCTCTTAATCTAAATGCTTTTTAAAAAGATCATTTGTTTAGATGTAGGAGTTTTAAATTTGTCTTTTAAATTCCTCTACCAGAACTAAGCACTTTGTTAATTTTAGGGGAAAGAATAGATACGGGGAAATAAACTTTTAAAAAAAGGTATCAAGAATTTTAAAAGATCAAGCAATTTGATTTAAAAAAGAATCTTGGATTTTAAGTGGTCCATAAATTAAACAATAGCAGTTCATGGTATTTTGTTTTTTAATCGAATATGTTGCCTATTCATCCATTGTAGGAGTGCTCTAAGGTTTTGGTTGCTAGGACCCAAATCCCACATTGAGATCTCAGGAGTAGACCCCTTGATGTGTGTTTTCTATTGTCTGCTCGGTTGTCACTCGGCACGCTCCTTGTCCCTGAGAACCGGAACAGCCGCAAGGTGGTGTCTCAGGGAGCTCAGCCTCCAGGGCGGCCAGGTTTGCAGCTTCTGAGCTGTGGTCTGGCTGAGCGAGTGCCTTTGCACACCCTGCCACCGCCCCTTTCTGCTCTTGCCAGGCTTAGACACTTGTTCCAGTCCGTTGGGAATAGAGAAAAAAGCCACTTTTAATTCCTTTTATCTGGTTTATTAGCTTCAAATAAATAGTTGAATGAAATTGGATTTTAAAATGTCTGTGAATTTCAAAGGTCTCTGGCTAGCTTTGGTGTCAATTTCCTAGCAATAACCGAGAGCCCGTTAATTTTTCTTTTATTTCATACATGTTTAGCCAATTTTTCTAGGTGTCTCTGAAGGTAAGATCATTTAATTTCTTTGACTTATGCATAAGTGAAACCTGTATTTCCAGAACTACCACTGGAATAGATTTGGGTTTGACACCCTCTCCCCCACCTCCTGGTTAAAAATAAATCGAAGATTGTAAATCCATCAACTTCCATCATAGTGGCCTGTACTTTTCAGATAACATATCCTCCTGTCTGGAGACAGAGATGTAGCTGAGTAAGAGTCTCGGTGTTTTTAGATATAATTGTGTCACATATATCTGAACCTTTCTTGTTTAAGCTGTGTGTGTGGGGAGAAATAGAATGGTGCTCTTATCTTTCTTGACTTTTAAAAATTACAAACAAAAAATATAAAGTTTTGTGATTCTTTTCCTCAGTCCCAACTCCAGGCTAACTGGAAGGCAGCACCCCCTTTTTATATGGAAAAAAAGGAGAAAGTTTAAGTTTTTATATTTTCTACTTGTTCATTTTATTGGTGCAAACTTAAGAATTTGATTTTCTTTTTAATAGATGCCGTCTTTTGAGATAATTTGTTTTTACCTTTATTGCCCTTTTATCTTTTTTAGATACTTCTCTTTGTATGCCCGCTGCCTACCTCTCCTTACCCCCCACCCCCCCACTTTTTTAAACCTTGGTATTTGTTTCATCTGCTTTTAAAATGTGCGGTATTTCCAGTACCTACTTTTTTGCTGAATCCAAAGATATATAAGTATAAATATATATATTTTATAAAGATCAAAATGATATAAAGGAGATGTTTCTTCTTAAAAAAAAAAAACAAATAGAAATTCATTGTTAATGTTCATATTATGATGCCACTTTTCTAAATCGTGCATCTTGATGGAAGAGGTGTAAATATCAATCACCAGGACTGCTTAGTTAATTGGTATTTAATATCTAGGTGAGTTGGGGGTATGGGGTGGGGGAGTACAGAACATACTTGGCTTGCTGTCCTCGAAAGGACTACCAGGTGTCCATATGCCTGTCCAGTTCCATGCGTTTTGTTCACGAGTGGGGGCGTCATAGGAGTAAAGCCTGTAGGACAGACGAAACCCCCTGCTTCAGGGGAGCAAGCTGCTGTGGAGCTCCAAGGTCAGCTGTTTGTTTAATGAGCGAGGTGGTTTTTTCGTTCCTTCTTTCTCTCTCTTTCCAATGTGTGGAATTTCGATGATGGAAATGTCATTCTGAGAGCAATATTTAAAATTCTCAGGAATTGACTTATAGTATTGAGAATGAATTCAGCTTCAGTCAAGTTTACATTAAATGTTGCTTTTAAAAATCTAAATCGTTCTTTACACTGCAAAGAATCCAGACCACATGGGATAACTTACGAGATGGTTGAGTGGTAAGCTCTGACGACTGCTTTGCTGATCATTTTGGATGTCATTGTAAATAAAGGTTTCTATTTAAAATTGAAGCCTAAGAGCTTCTTCTTCTTTTTTTTTTTTTTAAATCCCAGTTGGATTAAGGTCAAAAGAGAAGGTTAAGGAATCCTGTTTCAAATTATTCTAGCAATCTCTCTAAGGTTAACAGAACTCTTGAAAAGCACAGAGCTGTTCTTCTCAAAGGTGAGCACTTTGGGGTCCTCTTCACCGTCTGTTCGGTGAGAAGCACATCAGGCTAGATGATCGCCGAGGAGGAGGGTCCTCCTGTTTCTTGCTCCTGGCCTCTGACCGCTATCTTTGCCGGGCTGGACTAGCTGGTGCACAGAGAGGGGTTGGCTAATACGGTGAATTGCTTTGCAGTCAATGAACATTTTTAAAAAAGTGAGGTCCTGAAGCGGGTGTAATGTGAGTTACCTGCGAGGTTCCTGGTGTATGGTAAATTTTCGTCATTGATTTATACCCATCTATTCCCCCTTGGAAAAACCTAAGTGTCTCCTTCCAAAAGGTGTTGACTGCTTTTTTAAAAAAACCAAGCACACCAAAAACTCCCAAGAACGGCCTTTTACAAAATGTTAAAGGTTACCTCATACGAACTGCTGGTCGTTGGTTGGGACTTTGAACATTGTATGACAATACTTAGACTACAAAATTTCTTTACAAATACAATTTTGTTAAAACCTGGGACATGACATACATACATCAACTTCGTTTCTTCCCAGTACTTTAAAAAACATCAGTTCTGGGACAGATAACAAAGCAATACTGGCAGAAATGGTATCTGGTCAGGAATAGAAATGTCCACAACTGCAGGGGGTTTTCTTTACACTGGCCACAGACCATTTATTGACACCACCACTCTCGAAAATTGGGTTTTCTTATTAGATTCCCCTGCGAATCCCCGCGCTGGTTACATGTAAATAGTCTCCTATGTACAGTGAAGTCCATTTCTTCAGAGACAGCCTGCATTATGGTGCTCGATGAAAGTCCCCTCTTCCGTGCTGCTGACTCATTGTCGAACTTGGCACCGTTTCCAAACGTCTGCAAGTTGCGTCTGTCCTGCTGCAGCCTTAGGTCCTTCTTTGTGACGAACCAAAAGAACAAGAGGATTTAAAACAGGGTTGTTCTTCCCCTAGGATTTTAAAAAAAGTTCCAGTGACTTAACACTGTTGGGGGAAATTTCCAAAGAAAATCTTTTTCCCTTGGAAGCCTCTCAGAGAGGGTTAGTGGTGACCGTTGGATCCGAAAATGCCTTTTGTGCAGCTGGTGAGGTATAATCCAAAGCAAAAACAGGGGTAAAAGTGGACTTCCTGAAGATTCACGGCTCCCGATGGCTGTCTTCCAGAGCATGCCATGCTGACGGAAAGCAGGTCCTGTGACTCTGGCCCCCCTGGCCAGGAGCACCCAGACCCGCCTGAAATGGGTCGGTTCGGTCAGATGGCGCCTCTGGTCTGGAGGCCCGCTGGCTGCTTCTAACCTTCCCAGCCTTCCCACAGCTGTCCCCTGCAGAGCAAAGCAGACTCCTCTTAGTGTCTGAGGAAGCAGCCCTGACGCGGCTGAGCATGCTTTGCCACAGGGGAGAATTGCCAGGGCCCCGAGCAAGGGCCTGCTCCCACCCGGTCACCCCGACTTCCAGTGGCGGCTTGCATGCTCCGTGGCTGGCAGAGGCTGCACTGGGGACGTGACCTGAGAGATGATGTGCTGTAATTCTGGGAGCGCTAAAGAACTGCTTGGCCAGCCCATTAGTATTGTCCTAAGAAGCCACAGGTGGTTTCTGTGCGGATAAAGAAGGGAGAGCACAGATGGGAGGCTGCACACGGCAGCGCACCGAGGGGGTCCATTGGCCTGCGTGGTAACCTAATGTCAAATGAATGGCCAATGTGAATAAAAAATCCTCACACATATCTGAGTGTTTGGATTTTCATGATGAACTGGAGGATCCAAGCCGCATCCCACTGGTGCCGTTCCCTTTAGACTTGAGGTGACCCTTTCAGGTTGCCCCAGTCTCAGCCCTTCAGCAGCCTCTCTGGTGCTGCAGGGAAACCTCGGGCCATAGATATTTTGAGGGCCGTTTCATGAGGCCGCCCCTGCTGCTGACACGGACCAGTTAGCCCTTCTGCAGCCACAGCCTTTGAGATGTCTGGCAAGTGTAACGTTTACACGCTTCTCAACCTCTAAGGACTACATTGAGTCTTCCAGGCCCAGGTTATGCTATAGAGAACAAACATGTGAGACAAGGTATTAATCTAAAACACAGACCTTCCTGCTCCCTGCTCGTGACACGAACAGAGAGACAGGATTACGAAAGAAATGGCATGCACACAGAACGGCTTCGGCAGAACGAAGCAGGGCAAACCAGATCTCTATTTGTAAATTGTTTCCTCAACTCACAGCGATTTGGAAGAAGGTCTCTTCATCTCTGGCCACTTTCGACGCTGAAACTGCCTAAGTTTTTGGGTGTCAAAAAGAGAAGGTGTGTTAGCCTCATCCAGAAAGAGTCTCCCCCTTCCCTGGTGGGCGCCCCAGGCCCCTGGCAGACCAGAGAGAGGGCAGGGCCTCAGCCCGACTCGCGCCACCTCAGAGGTTGGACCACAGGATGGGCCAGCCTAAGGGAACGGTCTCGGGCTTTAACAACAAAACCAG